TCCTGCAACCGTTCTTCATATATTTTAGCCTCCAGTCCCCTAATCATCTTTGTTGCTCTTCTCTGCACTGTTTCCAGAGTTCTCAACATCTTTTTTTATACCATGGCAACCAAAACTGGATGCAAATATTCCAAGTCCCCCATCCCTCCAATGTCCATAGAGATAAAAGTGGAAGGAAAGGTAGCACAAATTCAGACTTGCAAGATTCTGTTACTGTAGCTATTTTAGATATAGGTAGCTGAGATCTGCATGAGGTCAGTTTCTTAGTTTTGTCTACCTGATAGGACTAACAACATGGGGATCATGAGAAATGTGGTTTAATCCAGAGGATATTGGACCAGAAAACCCATGATTATGGGTTTTTGAGCCATGGTGGTGCAGTGGTTAGAGTGGAGTACTGCACTCTGGAGTTCTGCTGACTACCGGCTGCCTGCAATTTGGCAGATCGAATCTCACCAGGCTCAAGTTTGACTCAGCCTTCCACCCTTCCAAGGTGGGTAAAAGGAGGACCCAGATTGTTGGGGGCACTAGACTGACTCTGTAAACCACTTAGAGAAGGCTGCCCTCTCTCCCTTCCTTCCCTCCTTCCCTTCCTTCTATTTGACTGAGCCTGCTGAGTTCAGTAAAATGAGGACCCAGATTGTTGGGGGCAATATGCTGACTCTGTAAACCACTTAGAGAGGGCTGTACAGCACTGTGAAGTGGTATATAAGTCTAAGGGGTGTTGTTATTGTCTATCCTTCCTTCCTTCCTTCCTTCCTTCCTTCCTTCCTTCCTTCCTTCCTTCCTTCCTTCCTTCCTTCCTTCCTTCTTTCTTTCTTTCCCTCCTTTCCTGTTGTTAGAATGCAGTATTGCAGAATAATTCTACCCACAGCCAACAGTTTGATCCTGACTGTCTCAAGATTGACTCAGCCTTCCGAAGTGGGTAAAATGAGGACCCAGATTGTTGGAGGGCAATAGGCTGACTCTGTAGACTGCTTAGAGAGGGCTGGAAAGCAGTATGAAGCAGTATATAAGTCTAAGTGTTATTGCTATTATTCTGACAATCCTTGTTATGAAGCCCTAAGAGGTTATTTCCTGCCTTTTCTACTTGGAACATCTCACCTGTGCTTGTAGAGATAGAGCACAAACCCTGCAATCATCAGGGCAATGAAAGGCACGAGGATCGCAGCTGCAACCGAGCTGCTGTTGGATGCAAATGGATGTCCTATTGATTCAGAATCCCGTTCAATGATGCTGTTATCTGGAAAAAGAAACACTATTAAATTGCTGGTGCTGAGTACGATTGGGAAGGGGAGGCCAGGGGCTGTCCTCGCACATCTGCTGCATATAAACATAACAAAATACAACTGTCATATTGCTTATATAAATTAAAGTTATTGTTTTGGGTCAACTTCAAAGTTAGTCAGCTTACCTAGTCTTTGGAGGCCAAATTGTCCAAAACCTTTGCCATGGACAAATCCTTGGTAGACAAATGTTCCACTTGAAGCTTCTGGGGTGACCTGTATTTGAAGCAGGAAATGAAAAAATACTGCAAAATCCAAATGCAAAGTGGGGAAAAAAATCAGCGATAGGAATAGGACAATTGTAGTTTTAAGGATGATTTGTCCAGAAATTATCAGGTTTATTTAAAATTATACAATAATTTGATAAAAGCACATGTTTGATTTCACAGCAAAAATCCATTGCTGAGGAACAGCATAAATTACTAGAAGCTATGATGATAATGAAGGAAGTTCAATAGAACAATACCAGAACAATAAAAACTGTAAATATTGGTAGCTTAGAGAGATGGAATGACTTAGATGCTCAATGGCAGAAAGTGAAGAGGAGCTAAAGAGCCTCTTGATGCGAGTGAAGAAGGAGAGTGTGAAAGTTGGCTTGAAACTCAACATTAAGAAAACGAAGATCATGGCATCCGGCCCTCTCAATTCGTGGAAAATAGATGGGGAACAAATGAATGTAGTGAATGATTTTATTTTCCTGGGTGTAAAGATCACCACAGATGGGGACTGTAGCCAAGAAATTAAAAAAGGCTTACTCCTGGGGAGGAAAGCTATGGCAAATGTAGACAGCATACTAAAAAGCAGAGACATCATCCTGCCAACAAAAGTGTGTATAGTCAAGGCTATGGTTTTCCCAGTTACAATGTATGGCTGTGGAGGTTGGACCATAAGAAAGGCTGAGCACCAAACAATGGAGACCTTTGAACTATAGTGCTGGAGAAGACTCCTGCGAGTCCCTTGGACTGCAAGACTATCCAACCAGTTGGTCCTAGAGGAGATCAACCCTGGCTGCTCTTTAGAAGTCCAGATCCTGAAGAGGAAACTCAAATCCTTTGGCCACCTAATGAGAAGGACAGACTCTCTGGAGAAGAGCCTCATGCTGGGAAAGATTGAGGGCAAAAGAAGAAGGGGACGGCAGAGAACAAGGTGGCTGGATGGAGTCACCGAAGCAGTTGGTGGGAGCTTAAATGGACTCCAGAGATGGTAGAGGACAGGAAGGCCTGGAGGAACATTGTCCATGGGGGTTGCAATGGGTCGGACATGAGTTTGCAACTAACAACATCTACAACAAGATGCTCAATTGTATAACCATTTATGGAATTTAAAAAAAAATAGAAATCTGAAAGTCAAACTTAGTCTGATTCTTCATGCTAGTACGTTCAAAATATGGCTCAAATGTTGTGGTGCAGTCTTTCTAAAAAGAAATAGAAGGTATGATAGGACAAGCTATGTAGAGGATCTTGGAACCAAATTACCTCTAGGCCTCAACCTATAACCATTCATCTAGTGCAGTGGTAGTCAACCTGGTCCCTACCGCCCACTAGTGGGCGTTCCAGCTTTCATGGTGGGCAGTAGGGGTTTTGTCTGATACTGAAGGATTTTCCTTTTTTAAAATTTAATTGACTTAAAAAAAAATCATAGCATTATTTAAAAACATTTTCATTAGGTTTTCATAAAATCACCATTACTGTGGAATCGGTGGGCGGTTAGAAATTTTTACTACTAACAGAGAAACAAAAGTGGGCGGTAGGTATAAAAAGGTTGACTACCCCGGATCTAGTGACTGTTCAAAGTTACAACAGCATTGAAAAAAGGGACTTCCAACCAAACCTTGCACTTATGACCATCGTAGTATCCCCGTGGTCACATAGGATCGGAATTTGGGTACTTGGCAACTGGCATTTTCTCCCCAACGGTTGCAGGACCTTGGGGTCATGTGATCACCATATTGCGACCTTCCCAGCCAGCTTCCGATAAGCAAAGTCCATAGGGGATGCCAGAATTGCTTAATGACCGAGTTATTCACTTAACAACATTCACAAAAAAGGCATAAAAGCGGGCCTGTCTCATTTAACAACTACCTTGCTTAGCCATGGAATTTCTGGTCCCAACTGTGGTTGTAAGTTGAGGACTCCCTCTAGCAGGTATAGTTTTGTGGGGATAAATTTGGTAGTGCTGTCTAGACCAAGGGTGTCCAAACGTGGGAACTTTAAGACTTGTGGACTTCAACTCCCAGAATTCCCCAGCCACACTTCTTCAAGTCACCAAGGTTGAGAAACACAGGTGTAAAGTTCCCTAGTTTGGACACCCCTGGTGTAGGCAAAGACAGGTATCCTGGAAATCAGTCTTCCCAGAGGAATTCTTGTGGTGTTTGTCTGAAGCATCTTCTGCCTTTCTTGGGTCAATTTTGATTGAGATGCTTGAAGATTGGGGTTTATTTTGGCCTGAGATTGTTAAATGTAAAAAATAATAATAATAAAAAACACTAGAGAGGTGTTCCTGGATGCTGGGTCAGCAGATATAAAGTAAAGGTAAAAGTTCCCCTCGCACATATGTGCTAGTCATTCCTGACTCTAGGGGGCGGTGCTCATCTCCATTTCAAAGCCAAAGAGCCAGCGCTGCCCAAAGACGTCTCCGTGGTCATGTGGCCGGCAGGACTAAATGCCGAAGGGGCATAGAACGCTGTTACCTTCCCACCAAAGATGGTTCCTATTTTTACATGCTTTCGAACTGCTAGGTTGGCAGAAGCTGGGACAAGTAACAGGAGCTCACTCGGTTATGTGGCGCTAGGGATGTGAGCCGCTGAAATGCTGACTTTCTGATCGACAAGCTCAGTGTCTTAGCCACTGAGCCACCGTATCACAAAATCTGTATGAGTGGAATGTTCCTGAATGCCTAAAAGCCTAGAGCTAGTTCAACACTTTAACCATACTTTCTGCCTCCTCTAGTCTGCTAAAGAGAAAACATTTGTTTGTATACATCAGTACATTCAAGCTCTTTCCATCCTTGAAAGGCTTAGGAGCAAAAGGTTTGGTCAAATAAGAAGGTAAAGAAGAAAGAACTGAAGAAAGTAACTACCCAACTGCATCATGTTAGGAAAAAATATTGCCCTGTATGCCCATAATGAATTTTTCAAACGGTTTTCTGGCTTTAAAACATTTTAAAATATTTAACATTTTGTTTGCAATTGTAATTTTCCTGTCGGGCATTTACATTTGTAGCGTCCCACTTTGAGATTGTTTCAGCAATGAAAAGCGTGCCTAAATGTCTCTAACTAGAATCATTAGTTAAAGAGTCTTTTCTTTTTTTCTTTTATTAACCATTTAAAAAGAGAGAATGGACAATTGGAGGGAGAGAGAGAGAGGGAGGGAGGGAGAGGGAGGGGGAGAGAGAGAGGGAGAAAAGAAGAAGGAGGGAGGTGGAGGGGAAAAGGGAGGGACGGGGAATGAGAGAGAGAGAGAGGAAGGGAGGGAGAGAGAGGGAAGAAGGGAGAGATAGAGGGAATAAGAGAGAGAGGTAGGGAGCAAGAGAGGGATGGAGGGAGAGAGAGATAAAGGGAGGGAGAAAGAGGGAGGGAGGGAGAGGGAGGGAGAGAGAGATGGAGAGAGAGGAAGCGAGAGGAAAGAAGGGAGAGATGGAGGGAATGAGAGAGAGAGAGGGAGAGAGAAAGGGAGAGAGAGAGGGAGGGAGGGAGAGGGAGGGAGAGAGAGATGGAGAGAGAGGGAGGGAATGGGAAGAAGGCAGAGATGGAGGGAATGAGAGAGAGGGAGAGGGAGATTGAGAGAGGAAGGGAGAGAGAGAGGGAGGGAGGGAGAGGGAGGGAGAGAGAGATGGAGAGAGAGGGAGGGAGTGGGGAGAGGGCGG